GAAACATCCTCTAACAATTGGACTTGGAACCAACAAGTTAAGAGGACAATAGGGGAAGGGAAGGAAAACTGAATGGGAAGAAATCAGAGAGGGAGCCAAACCATGAGAGACTCTTAACTCCGGGAAACAAACTGAGGGTTGCAGAAAGGGAGGTGGGAGGATGGGGTAACTGGGTGATGGGCATTAAGGAGGGCTTGTGATGTGATGAGCACTGGGTGTTATGTGCAACTAATGAATCATTGAACATTATATCAAAAACTAATGATGTACTATTCATTGGATAATTGAATTTAAATTAAAAAAAGAATAATTCTTGAATATGTTAATTATTATTCCAGCAACATGAACATTAGCTGAGATTTTATTAACACTTATCTTTGATTAATGTTAGCTCTTCCCTCAGCTAAAATATTTGTTCTTACTAAATGTTTAAAAATAACTTGTTTTGAATGTATAAATTATGTATAACATAGGCAAAGAAAAAAAAGCAAAAAAATTCTAATAATTGTTGTATGCTATATGATTTGGCCAGATTAAGATTCTTTGTAATTCTTCCTGTCATGCGGTAGCGGGCCTTAACACAGCTAACGCTCTTGCTCACTTTCAAGGCTTCATTTAGATGTCTTCAAGAAGCTTCCTTCAGTCTGACTGAGTTAAGTACCTCCCAGAAAAGTGTAAATATATGTTTAGGGTTACCTTCACCCCTGCTGTATATTAAAATGATACATTTCTGTACATATCTTCCATGAATTTAACATCTGTCAGGAGTAAAGGCAGTCTTGTTTTCTTACCAGCATCTTCCAGAGAATTGGGCACTATTTAGATTACTCAAATATTAGTTGAATGGAACTGAACTGATTCTACTGTATGCTGAGAGCCACAGTTTCTACTGTATTAGCTTACTTGAATATCACCTTGTTTTTCTTATTTGAGTGACTTCTTTGAAGACACTGTAGTAATGTTGAGGCACTTAGAGTATTATCATGGCTATTTAATTATAAATTATAATTTCATTCAAGCGGTGATTTTTACATTTTTAATACATTATTTATTTATATTCAGGTACAATCTTTCCCTTAAGAAAGTACTTGTGGGGTGCCTGGGGGGCTCAGATGGTTAAGTGTCTGATTCTTGGTTTTGGTTCCAGTCATGATCTCAGGGTCGTGGGATCAAGCCCTGGGTTGGGCTCCGCACTTAGCATGGAGTCTGCTTGTCCCTCTCCCTCTGCTCCTCCATCTGCTTTCACTCTTGCACTCGCTCTCGCTCTCTCTCAAAAGTAAAAAAAAAGTACTTAAATAGAAAAATAATATGTCCTTAAAAAAAAATCTAGTTGTATGGATGTGCTCAAGCTGAAAGCCATGTATACAATTTTTAAAACTTCCATTTGCCTGCTAGTGGGTAGTATTCAGTGTTTAAGTAGACACATTTTGGAGTCACCCAGATGTGGGATTAAATTCAGCTTTTGCAAATGACTAATTGTGATTTTGGGGGATGCTATGTAGTCTTTGTGAGCTGCAGCTTCCTTATCTAAAATAAGAGCACTATCTAACTTACGGCTTGTTGTGGGGTTCTAAGTGCTCACTTGGTAACTAACTATTAGCCTCTCTGAAATAATTCGTACTGCTAGTCATTGATGACAAAGGATTTCTTTCCCCATGGCCCCTTTCCTTCATTCAGAATGAGGTTGTTTTATTGCTTTTGTTATTGTTGTTTGTCATTTTGTATTAGTACTTTTAATTGAATGTTTTCCAATTTCAAACCTTTTATTGGAAAGACAGATCACTGCCTTCCTTTTAATACTTACTAACTAATTAACTGATTTTCACTATTTCCTCAAACCTCAACACAATCTTCTGGCCTCTGTGATCCTATGCTCAGTATAGGCCATGTTACACCTGAATTCTACTTTGCATGCAGTCTGTTAGTTGGGGGCAATTTGCTTTCCTCTCCCCAACTTCATTCATACCCAAATATATTTCTAAATATCTTATTATGTTCCCAGTTTCAAAATGTCTTTTATATGACCTTTAAAAATATTGTCCATTTGGAAACTCAGGTGCATTCCCCTTGTTGGCTCCTCCGTACCCCTGACTCCCCCAGTCTTCCTCAGTCTTCTGTTCCAGCCCAACTTGTTTCCCTTTGGTCATGCATTTTAGCATCTGCATCTTTCTCCAGTCTGTCCTTATGTATGGCACAGGCTTCTCTCTTACTTCGCTCTACCATGTCTCTCCTGATTTTTCAAGATACCTCCTCTGAGAAGATCTGTTACAGGTAGAACATTTTACCTGCAAACAGTCCCTAACCAGGTATCTCCTTTCTATTAACTTATTCCTAGATTTACTTAAATGGAATCACATAATTTTGGAGCTTAAGTCTATCTTAGATATAAGATAGAAATTATTTAGCCTAAATATAGATATATCATATATAGTAGATATATCTATATAAGATACAGATATTTAGTCTAATTTCCTCATTTTGCAAATAAGAGAGCTGAGGCCCAGGGAGATCATTACAAGCATTGCATTTAAGTCTATTAAGATTACCTAGAAGGAATGCATGAACAGTAGTGTTTCAAAAGGAAATAAGCAATAAAACAAAACTAATGGAATGAGGGAAAATGCTTGATATGGGTGCTTACTCATTTCACTAATTTTTTTTAAAAGCTATAAAATACTAAAGCTCAAGATAAAAAAGAAAATTAAAAAGTAGGGGCCAAAACTACTAGCACAACTTGATTTAAAAAAAAAAAAAGAAAGAAAAACAAGTCACACTTTTGTTTTTTTTTTTGGCCATTTGGGAAAATCACAATATTTTGCTTGATTACTTTTCCTCACTTTTCAACCAGTAATATGGATTGCATGAAAAATAAACAAAATAATTAAACTTTATGATTTCATTCCAATGCTTGCTGGCATAGAGGTATAAAAAAGCAATCCATGGATTTTGCAATCAAATAAATCTGCGTTTCAATTCCTATGGGTATCAGTTTACTCATTTGTAATATCATGAGTTAATGTAGAAATAAAAGCATCTGGTAACAGACCTTGAGTCAGACACATATTTTAATGCAACATTCCCAAGAAGCAATTTAATCAACAAATCTTTCTCTTCTATCTCCCTTAGGAATATAAGACATAAATGCAAAGCCTGACATCAATACAGGTCTATAGATCAGTGACTTTGTCTCTGGGGGATATTTTGTGCATATCCAGTGAATCCATATGAGCAGGTTTCCCTGGAAGAAGTTCGAGCACTGCACAGATATAATAAGAATGACACAGTTTGAAATATTGTGAGAATTACCAAAATGCAACACAGAGACATGAAGTGAGCAAGTGCTGTTGGAAAAATGGCACCAACAGACTTGCTCAACACAAGGTTGCCACAAAACTTTGATTTGTAAAAAAACACCATGTCTGTGAAGCACAATAAAGTGCAATAAAACAAGGTATGCTTCTTTATGACCTTCTGGAAAAGGCAACATTTTGTGGAATAGAAAAGGGGTGAGAATATCCAGCTAACAGTAAAGAAATAAAACTAATACCTATAATCAGATTACATTTTCAAGCAGAATTCTCTAATTCGGAAGGGAATTACAGATACATATAATCCTAATGGCCATTTTCTCTCGACTTTTCTTCACTTCATTTCTTTCTACAGCCAAAATCAGAAAGAAGGTGAATGGTAATACCATGCCCTAATAATTTAACTTGGAAAGAGAGAAAAACAAAGTATTTCTAAAACTCTATCATAGGGTCAGCTCACTGTTAGTTTAGTAGCAATGGACAGACCTTGGCTTGATTCTTGCTCCACCTGTTACTCAGTGTGGGGTTCAAATTTTATAACTTGAACTTTGGTTTCCTCTTATGTGAAGTGGTCCTATTAGTCACGCATCCTCACAGGTACTTAAATATTTGACATAATACTTGGCACATGCTGAGTGTTTAAAACTTCTAGCTTTTATCATTTTACTCTAAATTTATAGAAACTACATCGTCATGATGCTCTTATACTAAAACAGTTGATTGATTTTTGTTCTTGGGTTTAAGAAAACCCAGTGGTTCCATAGTTGGTATTTAGTGTGCACATTTATTTCTTCTTGAATCACTCTGGATCTGTTGTTGACCCTAGGCTTTATTATTAGTTCATCGACATCTATGGATAAAAAAGAATTTTATATTCAGTTCATTATTTATGTAAAGATAAGGAATCAGCGGCCTCACAGCTGAGTGAGAATCTTAGAAATGGCCATCTCAACAAATGTGCTGACAAAGAAGCACCTATGTATTAAGGCTGTTCTCAAGTAGCAATTTGTTTCCATAGCACCTAAGTGGAGAAAGATAAAATTTCCCATTAGTCCCCCGAAGCAGAAAAACGTTTAAAATTCCAGGTTTGGGTAAGGAAAGATGATGATATTTTCCAATGTACGTTAAAAGTGGGTTTTAGAATTCTTTTCTTTGTTCAGTTAACAGAAAGTCATTATTAGGTAGAATTTGAATTCATATGAACCTTCACCATGTGAAAAGTTTGATATTTGTTTGAATTATAGGACTAAACGTGCAAGTTTCTGAAATCGAAAATGTCATTTTTGCTTAGTTTAGAAGGGAAAATAAGATAATGAAAAGAGCAAACATCTCCTTGGTAAATATGAACTTAGGAGGAGGAGTCCCCAAAAAGTTTCAAGATGCAAAGTCTTTATGATCATAAATGAGAAGGGAGGAAATTTAGTTATTATTTATTCATTTGTTTAAGAAATATTTTTTGAAAAATTTTTAAGTACCTGGCTCTGTGGTAAATGCACTGGGGACAGAGTTGTATAAAATAGCCCCTGCCTCCAAGAAGCTTCAAGAAGCAGAGGAGGAAGACCACAGGGTAGAAAATGTTTCATTAACAAGCAGAAATAGGATGCTGTGGGAACATCATTGGGAGGGAAACCATGAGTCAAAAGAAAAAAGAAACAAACTGAAGAGAGACATAAAAGAGACTACTCAGAAAAAGCAAAACCAATTTTAATACAGAAAATGTCTGTCTTTCTAAAATCAAACACATTTAATACTTTCATAATACACCAAAGTTATATCTTGTTCTTTAAAATATCTTTGCTCCAAATGATTCTGAGGCTCAATCACGATTACAGAATACATAAAATTAAGTATATTAACATGACACAACCACTTAGTACTCTATAAAGTACATTATTTATAAGACTCCACAAGGCACACAGTTGATACAAGTTAATATGGGCTATATGAATTGTTCTCAGTTTTCAGGTATTTAGCCCTGCTAGCCAGGGTGAACATTCTTTTAACAGTATACTTTGGTGTCCTTCTTTGAAGAATGGACATTGAAAAAGTTAAAAATGAGTTACTATGTAGGCACTGATGTATGGAAAATACACTTTGTGTTTTTATATATTGTAAGCTGGAAATGCCTTTTGAGTCACATATAGATTTATGCTAGAAAGCTCGACAAACACTGAACAGTCTGTGAAGAATGGAAAACCGCTGGACCAACAATTCAGATGAATATAATTCAACTATTTGCTGCAATACTGATTTGCTTGTTAAATTAATTGCTCTGAAATCCTTTGGTTGTCAGGTACCAAAATAGTTTTGAAGTTAGAAAACTGCTTTCCCACTTAATTCTTGTGGGTGGCCCAATTCCCCATGATATTCACAGCTGAGAAATCTGTTTTATGCATTTTCATCTCAAGTGATAATCAGGAGCAAATTAAATCCTGTTTTAAATCTTAAAAGAAAAATGCAAACCACTCCTCAGTGACTTCAGACTGTAGGTCTGCAAGACATAGGCTTAGCTCCACATCTTGAATGCTGCTTTTGTATGCTGTCCCCTCTGTAACAGACTAAAATATGTCTATCATTACATCAGGATTGCCCAACACAATGACCATCCAATCTAATCAACCCAGGATGGCCTAACCTAATGAGTTTCAGATGTAGTGCTTCTAAAGTCAGTCAATAGTAATACTCTAAAGAAACTTAATTCCAACAAATTGAATATAAAATTCTTCATATTATATGCAGAAGTTTACAAAAAGCACTTCAAGGATATCTGGTCAAAACTATTGCCCAGAAGATTCCAAAGCCCGTACATTTTGTCCCAGTGTAATTAGACAGCTACAATAAAAGCAGTAAAAAGCAAGACAAGCAAATCTTGGTCTTTCTTAAATGAGTACAACCTCATTCCCTTGGGGGAACAGGTAACAAAAGGATGTTGGAGATTGTGCTTGTTTTTAGACAGATGTCATCTGGGACCATATGCTTACAGGAGTTTCAGATTTTTTCATTATCATCATTGTTGATTTTCTTAAATGCGACTGGGCTTGCTTGTTTCAAAGATGTCTTGGAAACATCCGTGTGCATGGTGGACATGGCTATTGTCTCATAGTCATCATCCCGAGACCGGAAATCACAAAAGCTAAAGAAGAACTGCAAGTCTCTCTGGAAATTTTTGTTCAGAAATCCATAAAATATGGGGTTGACACAAGTGGATATCATTGCTGTAAGGTGGCACAGCAGGAATAATAGATTATGGTTACACGTTGCAATGATCTGATGATTCCAATCAAACACAGTGTTAAAGATGGTAAGGGGCAGCCAGCAGACTGCAAACGCCACCACAATGGACAAAAGCATGATGTTGATTCTTTTGGTTTCACTGGACCTGTACTTATTGTCTCTCATCTTGTCCATCATGTTGTTTCTCCTTTTTAAGCGTATGTATATCTACAGAGAGAGAGAGAGAGAAAAAAAAAGTTCAACTAGAACCACTAATTTAAGGTGGAATTCTGTGGAAAGAAGGTTAAAATGGAAATGGTAGGGGGAAACATTTTCTTACCTTGAAGTAGCAAATAAATATAAAACAGAGTGGGCCAAAATACTGCAGCATCAAGAGGAGAGTTGTATAAGACAGCCTGTGGGAGTCCGATGGAAATTTATCAAAGCACACGTATTTGTCCTTGAATGCGTCAAGTGTTACATTCTGGAATGGCTCATCGGTCAATACTTGATAGATGAGGAAAGGTAGAGAAGAAACCACAGCAAGGACCCAGATGACCGCAATACCTATGTAAGCGTGCCTGTTACTTGGTCGCCACCCTCGTGGGTTGATTATCAGTTGATGGCGCTCCACAGCAATGAGAACCAGAGAGAAAATGGACACGGTGATTGAAACGCATTGCACAAAAGGATTCAGTTTGCACATCGCCTCGCCAAAAACCCAGTGGTCCATTAATGTGTAGACAAATGTGAAGGGGAGACACATGATGGCAACAAGCAAGTCTGAGAAGGAAAGGTTCACAATCAGGATATTGGTAACATTTCTCATCTCCTTTTGTTTCAAGATGATTATAATCAAGGCCAGGTTTCCAGAGACCCCAAGAATTATTACAGCTCCATAAGCAAGAGCTAATGTAAATATCATGGCCAAGGGCAGATGACAATCATCGCTTTCAAAAGCCAAAAACTGGGAATTCTCTGAAAAATTACAGAAGAGTGAATGATTTTCAACCTGGGAAAATAATGTTGAATTCATTTTGATTGGTTTGGTGATTATAGATTACTCTAGACAAATGGAAAATATGTTTCTTCAAAGCAGATCAAATGTTCAGCTTATTCTTAATTAATTCTCCATATTGCAATCCATTTATCAAAATTACTCTGAATTCTTCATTCCCTTGAACTGAACAATCTGTAAAGAGAAAATGACCAATGGCATTACTAATTTTATTGAGGGCAGTCAAAATGAATTCTGACTCATAATACTGTTTTAAGTGAAGACCTTGAAATAAATAAACAAAATGTAATCTGTATAAACATCTTTTTAAAGTAGCAGAACCACTGCAAACATTTTGAAAAAAAAAAACTCTTCTAATATTTTTAACTGGACTTGCAAATTTGTCTGTAAATTTAGCCTGTAAATTAGTAAGGTGTGCCTAAATCTCATGCCCAAAATCTTATATATGTCTTATATAAACGACTGTCAACAGATTCCTAAACATCGTAAAAATATGAATGTGTAACAAAAAATTTAATGCACAGATTAACACATAAGATATGAAACAAAGAAAAACAACAACAATTTCCCTAATTCTTCCTCCTACTATAGAAATGAACTAATTCATTAAGTTGTACTAATAGCTCCACCGTATACTGACCTGCTCTTTAAGGCAGACATTATTTAGCACAAGGATATTCAAAAGGGGATGATCAATAGAGTGAAACATCAAAAACCTTTGTCATATGAAGGACGGTGGAAGGGACAGAAGACGTTTAATCCAGAAAAGGCTAGGAATGGTATAGATGTCTTCCCATATTTGAATGGGTAGCATGTGCCGTAGGGAACCGGGCTTAGAATATTATATCTAACTATACAAGTTAGAAATAAGACCAAGGGAAATATAGTACAGTGTATATTACAAACAAAACAAAACAAATTTCACATCATTATGAGGAACAAAAGTTTAATCAAATGAAATCAACTGCTTGCAAAACTATGGGGTGCTCCATACACAAGAGTTTGCAGATACTACATGAAAGCGTTTTGGGGAGCTCTTGCATTGTGTAGGAGACTTAAGTGGCTATAACTGAAGTTCCTTCTAACTTTAAGGATTTTATTAATATGTACAAGCTTTCAAAGGATTTCTAAGGTTTTATACATGTAAATATCCTTCCTCCCCACTAGACTATATACTGATAAAATGCAGGGACCTACATTTTTGAGGTAATTTTGATCTTTCACAGCATTTTGTGATATAAAGACTCTTTTCTTACCAAAAAGAGAAATTACAGACAGTGGTTTTTTTAGAGATTAAAAGCTCCTTTGAAAAAAATCTGATTTCCTCCAGATTGCTAAATAAATATATGAGATTCAGGGTTTCTTATGTTAATTAACAGGCCATTGTGCCTGTGTTAAGGAAGGGAGTTGCATTTATTTCTTTTTTATGGGAGAATAAAGAAAATCATGCAGATTGACTTCCATTTCAAAGGAGATAAGAAATTTAATGAACATTTGCCTTTTAAGTGGTACCTCTAATGAACCTCTCCTTGAGTGTTTTTGCTTTCTAGAATATCAGGTTTTTTTTATTATAAAGCCACACCTTGGCTTGATAAAACTGAAGAATAAAAATAAAGGTTTCTAACATTCAGTGAGAATGGAAGAATTAAGACTAGGAATGATTTCAAATGTGAACGTTTTTAGAAGTATAGCTCTCCCTTCTTCTGTGCAACAATCAATAGACAATGGCTCATGGACTCATGCAGACATCAACCTTTATCTCTCAAGAATGCCAAAGGCAGGGGGCACCTGGGTGGCTCAGTTGGTTAAGCGTCTGCCTTCGGCTCAGGTCATGATCCCGGGGTCCTGGGATCGAGTCCCGCATTGGGCTCCTTGCTCAGTGGGGCTTCTGCTTCCCCCTCTGCCTACCACTCCCCTTGCTTGTGCTCTTTCTCTCTCTGACAAATAAATAAATAAAAAAAGAATGCCAAAGGCAGAGAGAATAATCTCTGTCTCTTAGTGTCTGAGAACAAACCTTGAAGAAGTAATAATCTAACATTTCTTTGCAAATTCCTCACTGAAGAATTCAAGAAAATGTTTGCATCATACTTCATATATATGCACGTTGCTGTCAAGACATTCAACATGACTTACTAGTTAATTGTGAGTTTCTCTTCATTATTTAAAGTAAAACTAGCATGGTAGGAAAGTGCATGCTCTTTATCCTATGACTTCTCATGGCTCTCTGTCATCACGCACCACCAGATGAGAAAGTATCCTGGAATAAGACACTATGAGTACATTCCTCAGCCTGACACTTGAATACCTCTACATTTTGCTTCCCTTTGCCTTTCACTCTTTGCTCCAAAAGCCCCATTGTGAATGCTATGTTCCAGGTGGGCCAGTCTCTCCCCAGCCCACCAAGTGCCCCCCAGCCTGTTTTAGTGTCTGCATTCATCTGTCTCTGCCATTGCTCTTGTTGGGTGTCCTGTCACATCACCAATTCAAATGCTACCCGTCTTTCAAAACACCATTTAGTGCACTTGAATCCTTAACTGGCTCCTTCCAATTATGATATAATCTTTTTAAGGTAGGTAGTGTATATACCTCATAGCGCCTTGCAAATACTAGATTTAGAACAAAAATGCGTTGACTGACACAGTAGGTGCACAGTTGGAATAGTAGGTTCTAACGCCAGTAACTGAATTCTGTCATAGTCCTTTTACATAAGGACTTTTACAAAAGGACTTCTTTTACCTAGTCCTTTTACATGCAAGAGGGATGCCAATTACAATACTCATTTTATTAGGTCAGGAACATTAGGGGGAAATGTTCCATTTTTGTGTTTAAAAAACGAATTGTTTCTGAAAGAAAATTCATTCAGCCAATAAATATTTATTGAACACTCAGTTTGTGTCAGGCATGGTTTTAGGGGAGACAATGGTGACTTTCTCATTGAGTTTCCAGTCTTGTGAACAAAGAAAACCAAGAAAAAATAAATTGGTAAAAAGGATAGTATGCCAGATGATAGGTATTATACAGAAAAATAAAGCAAAGAAGGGGAGCTGGGGTGGTTGGGAGTTGCACTTTATTACTAGGTGGTGTGGAAGACCTCTCCTTGCCTGAAAACATGGCATATGATCTAAGACCTGAAAGTGGTGAGTGAGGAAGCCATGTAGATATGTCAGGGACTGCATCCCATGTGGAAAGAATGAACGTAAAATCCTTCAGGCTGGAGTGTACCTGGTGTACCAAACATCAATGAGAAGTGCAATAAATAAGAGACAGACTAGTAGAAAATTACTTAGAAAGGGTAAGCAGAAGAGGAATAGATTATGTAAGATCTTATTCCATGGGACAGTTTGACTTTTTCTCTGAGGAAGATGAGGAATCACTGGAGAGTCTTTGGTAAAGACATGAAGTTAGATGGCTTGTTTTAAATTATTACTTGAGGGGCTGTTTTCAACAGACTTAAGATAGGAAAGAGAAGAAATAGAGAGATTCATTAAGAGGCTAATACAATAATACAGATTAGAGATAACGGAGGCATAGACTGAGGTATCTACAGTGGAAAGGAAGAAAAATAGAAATTTTAAATCCATTGACTTATTTTGACAAAATTCAATCCATAATACAGTGTGTGGGCTACAAAGGCAGTTTCTTGCAGCGGGTTTTAGGTGAATACTGAAATTCAACTCTGATACCTTTGAAGTTATACTTGATGGACATGCTCTGGTAAGGAATAGTGGTCTTTCCACTAAGTAGGTATTAACTTAGCTATACAGAAAATGTAAACTATTTTTTTAAGTGTTTGCAAAGCCTCCTTTTCTAAGTGCATGTTCAGTAGTCATTCCAGTTTGGTAAAACAGTTCTGCATTGGATAACATGTGTATTTTCAGCCTATCTTAGTATAACTTCAAAAAAGAATAGTTGTCAGAAAATAATACTGAGAAAGAATTTACATACATTATCTTTGCAAAAGAAAATAATTTGATATTTACTATCCCAATAGTTAAAATAAGATATGCAACTACAGACATTGCAAAATTTAAGGTTGTTAAATCTCAATGTAGCTGTCATGAGCAATTAAGAGACAAAATAGAGATACTACAGACACCACCAATTGGAAACTTAGCCCCCTTCCAAAGGGAAATTTCCTTCTCCTTTCCAATGAGAATGCTGGCCTTCCACTGCTTGCCGTTCTTAGTGCTGTTACTACCTGAAAATACAAGTTTCTGGTCATAGTCTGCAGCAGGTAAATTTTTTCATATCCTCAGAGCTGGCCGTTCACCTTACTTGTTTTGGAAAAGAAATGCCAGCCTCGTTACATACAGCCTCCCAAAGTTACCGCTAGTTTATCTATGTGAGTTACATAATCCTCTGTTCCTTCCTCTTCTGGTTCAACAGACAGCTGCCTCAAAACGGTAAGGGAAGACTCAGAATGCAGTAGTCACCCACCGAAAAGCACTCCCGCTGTAGTCATAGGTGGGCAACTGGGCTGGATAGCTTTCTACTCTGTTCACCAGGGAAGCCCATTCTAGAGTCTTGCGCCTGCCAGATACTGCTTCTCCGTTTCTGTCCAGGTAGAGACAGGCAAGCTCTGCACTCCCCCCCGCCTGTGTGCCACCTAGCGGGTTATGCTTTTGCACAGGATCCAGGTAAGCATGGCAAATCTGAACGCTCTGGGAGAAAAAAAAAAAAAGTAAAAAGAAATGTCAAAACACACTCCCTCTTTGCCTTCCCCTAGGCTTTTCTGTGCTCCAGCAGTTACCAAAGAATGAAACGGCATGGTTAAACCAAAATTCCTATTGGCTCGCTTACCTGCCCACCTTTTTCATATTGTGTAACTAGGTGAATTGCCCCCAATTTTCCTCATCCCTAACCTTCCCCCACACACCCGTTTGCCACCCATCTATCAAGGAACATCTCTACCCGTGACGATGAGACTGGCAAACAAAACATCCAAACCCAAACCAACCCAAAATAAAAAAGAAGCAGAGCCCAAACTCAGTTCTCTGTGGACTAACATCAGTTCTTAAAACATTCGCCTCTCTCCAGTCTACCTGGAGACCAACAGAACACTCTTAAGCCACCTGTACTTCCAGTCCATGCCCAATCTCCTAATCTTGCCAGGTTCCATCATCGCTGTTCTAAAAGGAGCTAAAGAGTTCGATGATCGAAACTCGGAAATAAAAGGATAGGGCTCAGGGTGTCTACCAGGGCGCAGTGACAGACTGGAAGGGTCAGCACCTAGGGAGAGGGGCTCCATTCCAGCCCAGACGCGGGGAACCCACAAGTGTCCGGGGGACCGTGCCTGCGCTCGGGTCCGCGGCCCCCCGGGCAAGCCCGCGCCTCCGCCGGCTCCCCGCGGGACACGTGCGGCGCGAGGGGGACCCAGGTGGACCACCCGCCAAACCCACCATTCCCCAGACCATCCCAGAGACCGGTTCCTCCGCGCAAACTCCAGTGCGGCCGCCCGGGCAGCCAGCTCCAGAAAAACGCAAAAGATAAGCCAGGTCAGGGGGAAGACGACCTTACGAGAACCCGAAAGGGGAGAACTCATATCCCGGTGCAGAAACCCTGGGGGAGCAGGGTGTGCGGACGCCGCCAACTCCCGATTACTGACGTCGGCCCACACCTATAGGCAGGAGTCCCGGAGTTGTCTGATCATCTGCCGCACCTTGCGACCTGCCTGCACCGGGAGCCCAACTAAGAGGCTGACTGTGCCCCACCTCAGCTTCCCAGAGTCAATTTCGGGCACTCGCCGTTTTTTCTTCCTCAGTGAGAGATTTCTGAAAAAGTCCCTTAAAAGGTGTAAACTTGAAACTTACCCCTCTGTTGGATTCGTCTTTTTCGCCCGTTTATTAAAGCGGGAAGAATGGTAATGGAAGGGAGCAGAGAGGGGAAGAAAGATCCGTTGGTATCTCTCCTGCTCAAATCCTAAAGATTGATGAAGATAGGAAGAGACGCCCCCTTAAAGCCGAACTCCACCTCATCCCCGGATCACGTGACGGCGCCCCGCGAGTAGCGCCTGATTCTCCCCCCGCAGACACCTCAGCTTGGATATACACCTCGGGGGTGCGTTGCCTAAGAATTCTGGAAAGAAAAGCAATTAAACATATCCACACATTGTTAGAGACACATACGAACGGTGCAGAGCAAAGTAAGCACTCATCCCCACACTCCTTGACTCCCGGGAAGGCGAGACAATTTTACGAGGCTTTTACAAAGTCAGAGTCACTGTGTTTTCCTTTGTTTGCAGGTCAGTGCCATCTTGTGGCCGAAGTTATAACCGGCTGAAACGCTGGAGCGTCAGCCGAACTCAAGAATGAAAGGGATTGTTACTTAGGAGAAAAGGAAATGTGAAATGCACCGCAGCAATGCCACTAATAGGTTTCTCGCTTTCTTTTGTGACGTTTGTATATTTCTCACACCAGTGCCGAAAAGGTTTTTCCCCATTTTAAAAGCGAACAAAGAGAAGACCTTAAAAAATAAAAAGTAGCAAATCTCGGATGAGATAGGCTGGCCCTGTAGTCCTTTCTTTTTCCACTGAGAAAATGCAGTCAGGCTTATTCCCGGTGCCTAGCGGCTTTCTTTAGGGTAGCACGACGAACGGAACATTTCCCTGGCGGTCAAAAAGAGTCAATGCCATTTCCTCGGTGCTTAGTCTACTGCTGTACTGAACGTTATGAAGAAAAGAATGGAATGTACGCAAGAGTACATTGTGGCAAAACCATCATGGTGCCTGGTGATTCTGGATAATTACTGGTACACTGATCTTAGATGTTTTACATAGTTATGTTCCACTTTGAAAAACCAAAGTTGTGTATTTCACAAACACATGCACACAAAAATTATTTACTGGTGAGGATGAATACAACTTCTTCCAAATCAAGCTGCCAGAAAATAAAAAGTGTTCCTAATAAAGATATAGGACACTGCCTAAGATGTGCATAAAAGTTTTATTACACAACAACTATGATTGCATTCTGTCTTCAAACTAAAAACAAAACAAAATTCCAAGAAAAATGGAATGACCTGAACTTTACACTCTTAAAAAATGTTTTATTTTTCTAGCTATTAGGCTATTCACTAAGTCATAACTGGTTTATTTATATAGTGATGTAAACATCTCTGGTATTTTTCCCAGGAAATATTTCTAAAATATTTGTCATTAGACATATTTTTATACAGTTGAAAAGGGATTGTGATCAAGAATTAAAATATCGTGGTCATGTAATAAATGAACTATAATAATAGATGTGAGCATACATTTTACAAAATCCTACTACTGGTTAAACAGAGTAAAATGGCATGTATATATTTTCTTTTTTAATTCTTTTTTTTTTTTAAACCAAGGATGAAAATATAAAGCCTAGATTAGGAATTTCAGTTTTTTAAAGAGCAATAACTCTTTAGGTTTCTTGTTGTCTTCTGTCTACTCCATTCCTTAAAGTCACGTTCTGAGAAGCAAGTTTACCCCAAGGTTACCCCAAGGATATCAGATTGGCTATTTTCAGTCTGATGCAAGAATTACAAATGAAATCATCTAATTTTCTTTGAAGAATACATTTTTATGTAAACATTTTTGCTATGTCAGCAAATACTTTGGAGTTGAAAATATAATCTGGATTCGTTAGACACTTTCCTTTCTGTATTTCCCCAGAATGCTAATAAGGTCATGTCTATAATAATGCTTAAACTACTGTGGCCCGTGTATTTTATCATTTTATTAACTGAATTGTTATAAAGTGTACCCCATAAGGCAAATTTATAAAGCTGCGTTCTTGAAATACTAATATCAAATACCAATTTTTGAAAGATCATTGGTCTCAAAGACTTTTCTTTATGTCAAATTTTGTGGTACAAAAAGAAGTTTTAAAATGCTCAACAAGAACAACAAATTGTATCATTCTCAAGGAATATCATTTATTAAGTACTCTTCCGAAGTGTAAAATATAAATAAAATTTTAAAAAGTGTAAAATAAAAAAATTCAGCATAGTATAATAACCAAATACAATATAAGATCCTCTTATAATGTAATCTTATGGAAGGGATGACATAAAGTAATCTGAGTTCCTCAGAAGACATGTGTTAACTCTAAATTCCTCAAAAAATGTATTAAAGAGAATATATGTGTGAAATAAAGATAACTTCTTTTTCTACTCTTAAATGAACAGCCAGTTGCGTACTTTCTTATTTGGGATTCAAACTAGATAAAACCTCATCTTTGCTAGAGAGAGAGAACTTTTTCCATCTCATGTATTTCCTTCTGAAATTTCATTGCTGTCTGACCTATAAACCATGACTAGAAGAATTAAAGTAATGACCTGTTCTCATGTTCTCTTGGGCAAGTCTTTTGTTCTGTCTTTAAACAGAAGAATAGGCTCTACTCATTAAACCTCTGTAGACCTTAGTTTTATCATCTAAAAAATGGTCTGGCCCTTTAAATTGCATGATTCAATGACTGTATAGATAAAAGTGTATCACTATACTTGCTGAGGGAATTCATCCATTGTAACTACTTTATTGGTCTCCTGATGAATTTCTGCTGCAAGGGTTAAAGATTCTAAAATGCTATTAGGCCTTGATACAGGAAAGTTGTTATAAATTATGACTCAGAAAAATCTTGATAGGCATTAACACTACATGTGAAAACTAGAAAGTGGATGACTTGTAGGAGAAAATTCCATTGGGTAAAACTTAATATGAACCACGTTGGTGAATCAGTTCATGTTCTACGCATTAATTAGGTGCCAGTTTTTCCTTCTTTCTGTAACTTACCTATTGCTTGTATTTGAATGGATGATGTCACATAATATAGATTGCAACATTATTTTATGGACCACTGGGGAAGAAAGAAAATGCTTCCAGTAAAGCAATGACATACAATCAATTGCAAATGAATCTCAAAGTTAGAGAACTAAAATCTTTTTTAAAATCCTCAACTTTTTTTTTTTTAAAGAATCTACTTCTTTTTTTTTTAAATTTTTATTTATTTGACAGAGAGAGAGCGAGAGAGGGAACACAAGCAGGGGGGAGTGGGAGAGGGAGAAGCAGGCTTCCTGAGGAGCAGGGAACCTGATGTGGGGCTCCATGCGGGGCTCCTTGCGGCACTCGATCCCAGGACCCTGGGATCATGACCTGAGCCAAAGGCAGACGCTTAACGACTGAGCCACCCAGGCACCCCTTAAAATCCTCATCTTAGAACAAATGAAGTATAGGAGGCAAAGAGTTTTGACTAAATTGATTAGTACAATCAAATGGTCAATACAATCACTTAATTCAATTGCCTTTTTGAGAATTAACTCGCAGAAAGAAGTAACAATTTAGTTAAAATGTTAGTATACAAGTATGTAGGCAAACAATTCAATTACCTTCTTTGTGTAGAGAAGCTAAGAAATATTTATGGATTTGTTCTTTTCTTGATTTGAACCGGGAATGCACTTCAAGAAAGTTCTCATTTTGTTACATAAACTACAAATTCAGAGCATTTGTTTTAAAACTGTCAGAATAAGACTCTAGAGGATTAGGGTCTTAAAATTATTTAGTAAATATCCAAACATTCTCCTGCAGATCTCACCTTGTCCGACACGCTTTAGACATTCAACAAAAGTGCAATGTTATTTTACACAAGTGTCACGTTGTGCATTTATTACATGGTATAATGAACAGAGCTTT